GAGCATTATTTTCAGCTGATGGATGATACGATTTGCAGGACACGCCCAAGCTTTGCTTGACGAACTAAGGCTTTGCAGGACTGTTGACGCAACTTGCATGCAGATGGAACAGCACCTCTCCCCACTGCCCTATACAGTAGCCTGAGGCGAGTGCATGACTGTAAGACCTGTAGAGCCATCCTTGGCACTTGGTTTGGACTTCTGTGAAGCCGCAGAGAAGCGGCTGCTACTGGTATGTGCATGAACGGTGCCGTCTTGCATGGAATCTAGACTACATTGGGGAGGTCCGTGGGGCACTTGCAAAGAGGTGGTGTTCGAGCTGGCATTTGTCCGGAAGGGCCAGCCTGTGAGTTGCAAACGGCCAAGAAGGTAAAAGACTAATGTGAGTGTCATTTTAATAACCACCACCACCCCTGAGGTTGTTTTGCGCGGGGGTCTCTTGGGGCACGGGTTTGGGTGGGGGGTGGGAATAGTAAATCTCTGGCCGTGTCTGGGGTTCGTTATATGAGTAGCATTAGTAGTACTAGTAATTAGTAGTAGTGATAGTAGTAATGGCACGTATAGATTATAGTGGTAATAGTAGCAATAGTGGTAACAGTAGTAATTTCAGTAATAGTAGTAATAGTAATAATAGTAGTCATAGTAGTAATAGCAGTAATAGTAGTAATAGTAGTAATAGTAGTAATAGTGGTAATAGTGGTAATAGTAGTAATAGTAGTCATAGTAGTCATAGTAGTAATAGTAGTAATAGTAGTAATAGTAGTCATAGTAGTAATAGTAGTAATAGTAGTAATAGTAGTAATAGTAATAATCGTAGTAATCGTAATAATCGTGGTAATAGTAGTCCCTCCCGGGATTCGCAGCGCTCTGGCTTTTTGCCGGCGGCCCCTCTGGCCTTCTCTGCCCTCTGCCTTCGCTCTGTCGTCACTTGACTGATGTATTTACCCAGACCCCAAACCCCAGACCTTTTTTTGCAGATTCCAGCCAAGTGTCGCCAGGGTGGCCGGTCCAGACGGTGCCTCAGATACGAACAGAAGTCACGCCCAGACCCCAAAACCCAAACCCCAAACAAGTGTCGCCAGCGGTGCACAGGGCTGCAGATGCTCTCTCAGATAAGAGCAGCAGTCAAACCCAGACCATCAAACCCCAGACCTTATTGCAGATTCCAGCCAAGCGTCGCCAGAGGTGGCCAAAGGCATCTCCACGTCAGAGGCAGCCATGGCCTGAAGCGATGCAGCTCTCCCAGCTTGGAGTTCCTAGCACATCGGATTTGCTCTGCTTGCCGAGGAGTGGAATCAAAACAGTTTGGAACTGCAATCTGCGAGCTGGTAATTGAGTGTCCTGTCTGCGGAACTGCACTCTGCTGGCTGAGCTTAGGGTCCTCTTAGTCTGAGCACTTGCTAGTTTCTTAGCCTGGCAACATTTTTTCGGGGATTGTAGGGGGGGAGTATTTTTATTGTCACCCCCCTTTAGATTGCTCCGACCCCAGGTCTAACATCGTTTGTCTAGGCTAACCTTGCGTTGGAGGTCTACGCAATTGAAATCCTTAAGGATTTGCTACGTCTCAGAACAACGGGGCTTAGTTTATCGGGGCTTTTCACAAGTTGGGCCTAATAAACGGACCTGGCAAACTTTGTATTTATTTGTCTGTACTTGTCTTTATTTGTCTGGATTTGTCTGTATTTGTCCGGAATTGTTTTTAATTGTCAAAAGTTGTCTTTATTTGTCTTTAATTTGCTTTGACTGTCGAACAAGCCTTGTTTTTTTTAAGCCCTGTGGTTGGGGACCCTAGCAAACCATCGATGACGTATTAGCGTTTATTTGTCATTATTTGTCGTTACAATTTTTATGTCTTGTGGGATTGGTTCAACTCCTGGTGCTTGGGTGGCTGTGGGCCCTTTGTTTAATGCGGCATTTACAGGCTTTTGGCTCGGTGATGTCTCACTTCCGCCAGATTTTACAAACAGATGTGTGAAATCCCTAGTCGTCGTGTTAACGCGGCGGCTCACTTCCGCCAGATTTTGCCAGCAGATGTGTGAAATCCCTAGCCCGTGTTTTTATGCGGTATTTACATGTGCAGGCATTGTGTTTGGTCACCACTCATTTCCGCCAGATTTTACCAGCAGATGTGTGAAATCCCTAGCCCTTTGTTTAATGCGGTGTTTACAGTTTTTTTGCTCGGTGGCGGCCCACTTCCGCCAGATTTTGCCAACAGATGTGCGAAATCCCTAGCCGCCTAGCCGTCGTTTTAACGCGGTGTTTACAATTTTTTTGGTGCAGGGTGTCGGGTTTGGGGCAAAGAAGTGTAGGGTCAAGAAGTGTCTGGTTTTGGTGTCACCTGACAGGTATTGGGTCTTTGAATATGGGGGCTGTAGGTGTCGGGTGTGGGGTTGAAAAATCTTATTGAATCTTATAAGACAACAATACAATTGTGGCATCCCCCCCGTGAAAATCTTATTGAATCTGACTACATCTTATAGAACCTTATTCTTTCACGTCGCTCAGCCGCAAGTGACACAGAGCGGACGCGTGACTTTTCGTTGCAAAATCCAAATATTCGCCACCGTTTCGCTGGGGGCTCCGCCCCCGCAGCCACCCCCCCGTGGAAGCGAGATTGAAAATCGTTTGTGTTTTATCAATCTTTTCTTGATAGATAGATACAGATTCTCTGTGGGGGGAACGCCAGAAAAAAGAGACGAATCCGGACAAATAGAGACAACGCAAAAAAATATGTTTTAAGTTTTACATACAAAGATTTCTGAATACTTTGGAAATTTTGACATATGTTAAATTCGTTCGTGCAACAAATGAATGGGCATATCATCGTTCTAGAAGTGTGTAGGTGCAACGGGAAAACAGGGTCCAACATAAAGTCTGTTAGGGCCATTTTAGGGTTTAGGATACAGTTTCCGATGCGCGATACACTTTTTGAGGTGGTCGACAGGTACGGTACACTTTTCAACACGCGTCAAAATATACTTTTGGAGGTGGCTATGTGTGTGTCAACATCCCGCGCACGCCGTTATCTGTCTGTGTTTGACCGCATACGACAACCCCATGGCCTTGCCCTGCCCGCCTGCCGCCCCTGCCCCGGGCCACGGCCCCAGCCACGGGCAGGGCCCGCTCGCGGCCGGCCCAGAAATCCGATCTGCAAACCCACTTTTCCCGACCCCCCCCCCCAGCCCCCCACCACCGAACCCCAAATCGTACCCAAATCCTTTCTTCCGGGACCCCAAAACCGACCCCAAATCGCATCTCAAACCTTATCCATTTCCTCTTATGATTAAAGCCAAACTAGGGTCCGGGCCGATAGGGTTTTCAATAGGGTTTCGGATACGATTGGGACGCTGGCGCCGAAGAGTTTTGAAGGAGCATGTTGTACGCAATATGGTGTAGTCGGTTTTTTGCATGGGACCAGCTTTGGTGGACATCGCACCTCTACTCCAAAAAACGGTGAGTTTGCAGATAGGATTTAGTAGGGTTTCGGATAGGCTCTGCGAGGGGTCTGGGCCGGCATTGGAAAGTCCCTGTATGTTGTAAGTAACCAATAACTCCTCCTTCTCCGTGCCGTATATATGTCTGACCCTCAACTATTCGTAGTTGAACTTGTATCGGCAAGTGTATCTAGTTTTGGGTGTGCATCCAAATCGTATTAGAACCTGTATCGAATGTGTATCCCTAGTTTGGGCGTGTGTCCAACTCGGATCGTTATATCGTATCTGAACCCGTATCCGCAGCCGTAAAATAATGATTCCTTTTTTAGATACCCGTGGCTGGATCAGAACCATAGTTGCAGACTTCGGAGAAAAAAGATTGCTTCGCACATCTTCGGAAATGCAACACCTTGTTTTTGTGGATGAACAACCCCCTGCGCCAGGTCGTCTTCACCCTGTACATCATCGAGCTTCTTCTTTTTCTAGCAAGTTTGAAAGCTTTAAAAATTTAATATTCTTATAGTTTTCATGTTTTAAACACTTCTAACATTTTTTAATCAGGTTTAGAAACTTTTTAATTATTTGAAAGACTAAAAAATCAATTTTTTTGCTTAAAAACATATTAAAAAACTGTGTTTGCCTGTATTTGTCGTTATTTGACTGTTGTTGCCTTTACATTTGTCCGGATTTGTCTCTGTTTGTCCGGATTTGTTTTAAATTGTCAAAAGTTGTTTTTATTTGTCTTTATTTGCCTGGACTGTCGAACATGCCTTGATGTTTTAAGCCGTGTGGTTGGAGACCCTCGCAAACCATCAATGATGAAAGTGGTTTCCGCTCGGAAACTCTGGTGTCGGGAGGTATTTTTATGTTCACCCGAATTATACAAAGGATACTCACATTACCTACACATTTGATACCGCGGTCCGATTCTGAAGCAGAGTTGAGACGGTCTCCAAGAACAGACTTCCAAGCCTTGTGGTGGAATGTTCGACCCGGCATAGCCCGCCACGGCAAGCACCACTCACCCATCACCCATAGCTCACCCAAGAACAATCCAGGCAAGAGTGGGCTATTCAAGCAGGCCAGAGGTCAGATGCCAAATAGGCATCACAGCTGAGACATCGGTGGTGGGGTGGTTGAAGGACAAACATCAAAGCACATGGAGGACATTTCTTCAGCGGGAAACCAAAATCAGAATCCGAATCTGCAGACAACCCGTGGATCACTTGGCCGGTACCTCACAGATAACGAGTACCATCGTTCAGTCTAACGGACTTAGAGCAAGTAATGTTGTGCACATTGGAGTTACAAGAGCAGCAGGCACTCACACACACACACAAAAGATATCGATGCGAACACCACCAACGATTGTTACTGTTTCGTCATGTAGAGCGATGCAAGATATGGTCTTGGATTGTGTTCTCTGATGCAGTCACATGGCTTGTCATTTTGAAGATGCGCGGCTTGATTTTGCATGTCTAGCAGGTATGTTTACGCGACATGTAGAACTTCTCCACTCAATCGTGCCTGAGATGTCCTGGTGCCGAGAGCAGGTACGTGGCTGGCATGATCTGCTTCAGCTGCAACATCACCTGGTTCCAGTATCTGGTGCTTGATGGTCCACCGCTTTTGAATCCATGATTTCGCGTCGATGCGTTGCTTTTGTCGTTAAAAGTGACGCCCAGAGGCTTCGTAACCAGACAGCAGCGGAAGTCCAAGCTGAAGAGCGGTGCCAGCGTAGCCTGTTCAAGCATGAAGTCTGCACCCCCCCCCCAGAATGCTGTCCCAATTCCCGACTTCCCGAGCGCTGCATGCAAGCGGTTTCAAGCAACCTTCAAGCTTGATTATTTCAATTCTGAGATTTTCTTAAGTCGCCCCTTGCCGAGCTAATCCCGACAATTCCGTTTCGTCTCTCTGCCTGAAGCCGGAGCCGGCCAGCCACCCGTAACGCTTGTGTTTTTAGATTTGTTTGCCCGACATGGCCAGACTCGGTGAACCATCCGGTGGACCGCGTCTTGCGTGTTCGCATGGCCCCAGCTGTGTGCCTGGACTTATGGGCAGCGGCCCTTGACTGCATGTTGCGGGGGCCAGGGGCAATTGGTTTGCACAGACACGTCCGGTATTTCGGGTTTCAGTCGCAGAGGTTGGGGGTTGGCGGAAGGAAACGTAGTATCTAAGCCGGAACCAGAAGCTGTCAAGCTCACTTCGAGTCGCAGTTTGATGCAACTGCATGCATACATATATGCATAATACCCTCCCTCTACCGTCACAACGTGCCAGGATGGGGACCTACAACTACGTACTTGTGCTGTGTCGAGTCTCTCTCTCTCTCTCCTTATCTCTCTTGGTTTGGGGTTATCCCAGCATGTGAACCAGTATATGATTGCAAGCGAGTGCATACTAGAACATGGAAACGGCGCCCGTACGGGGCCGTGCGTTCAGACATATTTTTCGGACCGGGACGATGACTTGCCTCACGTTGCTGCTGCCATGCTCCTGCTCTTTGCTACTCTTAAAGGTGCTGTTTGCATGGTGCTGCTTGCTGCCGGTAATGCTTGTCCTCATGGGCAGGGGGGTGGGGGGGTGGGGGGGATGATGACATGCCTCACCTGTACTGGTTCTGCAGTCCCTGCTCTCGAGCTCCGAGCTCCTTCCCAGAACGTTGGCCGTAATAAACGATCATGGATTAAGGCCTCTAGATCCTCTAGGCAGTCACCAACTCTTCGCGTGTCTTAATAGCATGAAGGATTGTCCAGCAAGTTTCAAGGCCTTACCTTCTGTAGAACCGCTCTCAGCAACGTGACCCTGCAACATGACTCTGGCCCCAGCAAAAGCTATCAAACGCCCGCCGGGCTGTGGCAAGAGCAGCATGTAGCAGCTTTAGTTTTTCCGGCTCTCCCTTCCCGAAAGCACTCGCTGCAAAAAAGGGCATCCGAAAACGCGAAATGCTGGCGCTGCAAAAAACCCGCCCGTGCTGTGGCGAGAGTACGATTTTCAAGCAAAGCTGATCCTGCAACTTTGAATTTGCTGCATGCATGCAGGCATGCATGCACGGATGCATGCATGCGTGCATACATGCCTATAACTTGTTTAGTCTGCGGCGCAAAGGTCAGACAACTACTCACCGCATATTCATTTGAAGTTTACATGCCAACACAGCTGAGTATGTACACATACCTCCGTACATATGCACACAGAAAGATACATAGATAGGCAGCTATAGGTAGATAGATAGATAGATAGATAGATAGATAGATAGATAGGTAGATAGATAGATAGATATGCATGTAATATGCAGATATAGATATCTCGACGCATGTGTATACATGCATACACACATAGTAACGTGTGTATGTGTGTATATGTATATATGTATACGTACACACACAACAGACTACAGGCGCGTAATTTTTCAGGAAAGGGAGATGCGGGCATGCATGCCTTCATACGAACTTGTGTGTGTGTGTGTGTGTGCTTGCGTGTGCGTGTGTTTGTGCGTGTGTACGTGTGCTGGTTTGTGTCTGTGTCTGTGACTGCATGAATGTGCTCGCGTCTGCATGTATGTGTGTTCGTGACTAGTGTGGTAGCTTGTAATCAACGCTTCTCGGTCCGGATGTGTGTGTGTGTGTGCGTGCATATCTATGTTCTGAGTTCTACAAGAGATCAGGTGTGCCGAAAGAGTTACGAGTTACGACCCAACAGTGGTGATGTGAATTATAGGTTGTGAATGCATGCGTTCATTCCTTCATTCGTATAGTAACGAGTTTCGACGGTTATGGTATCATCCTTGCATACATCCACTGCCTCATTCATGCACCCATCCGTCCTTCAAAACACTTGAGTTTCGCATCTATCCATCTAGTCACCCAGCCGTTCAGCAATCGGTACAGAAACATGTGTTCATCTAATTAACCATCCAACTAACCTCCTGTATATCGATATTAAGAATGATGTCAATCATCCTCCGTCCATCCGTCTATCCATCCATCCATCCATCCATCCATCCATCCATCCATCCATCCATCCATCCATCCATCCATCCAGTACATACATCCATCCATCTGATCAACACATGCTGCAAACGTTCGCATTCGAAAACACCAGCTTGAATTGGGGGCTCCTCCAGAAGGTTTGGGGAAGCATCGCGCATACTACTACCGACGGTTTTTGATGCCCAATGGCTCCGCGCACTGTCGACAGACGTTCTGCATTCGCATACACTCGAAGATGCGAATTTCGCGGTCAACGAACTCCATTACCCCAGGAGTCTTCGGGAAACGCTCAGCGTGCTGCATTTGTGCTGCCCGGCTTTGGAGGCCACGACCCAAAATCAAAAGTACTGGAGAATTCTGGAGCATGCCCAGAATTCCTCCCCCCAAATACTGGCGGATTAGACAGCAAATCCAGAACTTGTTCACCCAGCCCAGGATGCAGACCTTTGCAGACTCAAGTGCCTTTCGCGGGCACTGACGGATGCAGGAGGAGACGCGACATGTTTTTCCCAAGCCCAAGTTGCTTTCCGGCAAGCATTTGCGGTTCAGGAAGAAACCCAAAATGTTTTCCACCAAGTACTGGCGGATGCACGACATCGCAGACCAGCAGCACACGAGCCATCTAATGCACTGTATTTTATTTTCAACGGACTACACTTGCCAGAGGCGAACGACACGCCGCATCTACCGAGAAGGTTGACATGTCGCGACCGGCAAGCTGCCCGTGCACTGGAATTTACAAGGGCTTGCGTCCACTGCGCAACTCTGCTTTGGAATCGCCACAAGCAGCGTCGCCGGCAACACACCCCCATCCCGATCGCAGATCAGATGCTCGCCACATCCATGGAGAGGGTTGTTGTTTCCGGAGCGGCACGCGGCCTGTCCGTCCCTGTTGGAATTTGCAATTCAGTACTATGAATCGCAGTTGCGGGCAACGCAGGATTGATGTAGCTTCCGCTCATCGTCGTCCGGCGGATTCAGGACCGCCTCCACTTTCCTTTCCCTCTATACCACTGCCGCGATTCAGAAGTCGGCAGACGGTAAGCACACACGCAGCCAAGTTTCGACACCGACCGACACCCCAGCGTCACAGAGAGGGTTGCAAATTCGAGAAGGTCGTGCGACGCGTGTGTTGGAGTTTTCAACGCAGATTCGGACGCGGCGTTAGCACCGAGTGGTTTTCAATTCGGAACATTCCAGACGCCGCGATGGCAATGGATCGCACCACCTGCAAAACACAACGATCGCGGTGTTGTGATGTGCATCGGAATTTACAACTGATCGTGCCGATCGGAGGCCGCCGACACGTATGCAGCGCAAGGGTTCCTCTGTTGACAAGTACAGATCGCGCAGGACTATCGCACGAAACGCTCAAAGTGTTGCTATTGTCGGGACCCCGATGGCGCTGCCGCTGCGATACAGAAGAGTATGTTTCAATTGTAGTTATATATCAACATATCAACGAAAGAGAACGCAAGGCGCAAGCCTCGCAACATCAACATCATCCTTTACACCTCCGCTCAAAAAACCTTCGCGAGCGGTCTCGGGTTCGAAAATCTATTTATAAGCATCAGTATAAGCATTCTGTATGTATGCATGCATGCGGAGGGCAGTACAAGCCGGGACTTCATGTGTGATGCCACCGACAAACTAAACAGTCATGTTTTAATGACTTGTGGGTTGTTACGTCGTTGTTATATACACACTCGCCCCAGATACTGGTGGGCGCTTCAAGGATGTGCATCCTGTGCCCACTCTCAGACTGAGGCCTTGTGCCACTCCTTTGGCCGAGAGGTGAAAGCTCTGAAGGAAGCTATCAGGCCCGAGAACACGGTGCTCTATGGTCCAGATGTCTTGGAGCCCCAAACCTGAAGGATGTTGTCTAACTGAGTGAGACCACGGCCTCAGGGATTCCGTCATCGCTCGAAACGCGACTCTTTCCGAGGAGGCGTGACTTTGCAGTGCAGCTTTGAGTCCGAGGGCATCTGCTCCCAGTCAGTGACAATACTGTGATACCAGTAGGAACTAGGAGCGCTGCGGCTTCGAACGGCCTCGTTCCATGCAACGTCCACGCAGACCTTGGTTACCTCAATCGGCTTCATACGTGTTTAGCAGAGTTATCTTCCGAGCAGGATTTCATGGTTTGACATGTTTCATGTCCTTTGTCCTGTGGCAGACCTTGTTTAGAAAGGAGCAGCTCCCCAAATCTTTTGATTCACCCTAGACTCAGCCAGAATATGGACCTTTTCCATGATGCACAAGCTCTCTGCGACTGGATGCACGACGAGGCCAGGTTCATGTGGCCTAGGTAGTTCTCGGAGAAGGCAAAGGCTGTTCACAAAGTGTCATGAAGTTTTCCTGCACGGATAATTTGGCATATGAAGCGATGTTTCATGCTGTGATGTGTCCAAAATGCAGCGATAACCAGTGCCGTTGCCCGTGACATAAGAATAAGGTCAGCAACGACAACACAAACTGGACTATCACATAGGTGCCGTGCTGCCTTTCGTCTGCGAAGTGTATTATGCCTGTGTGCACCAGCTAACATGGTTCGCGCGGCTTCACTGGTGGCAAACACAAGTAGCTTGATCTTGTGTCTTACCAAGAGTGGAAAACCTCTCCGTTACGCTAGGTGTACTTCTACTTCTGCTAGCTCTGCTACCATACAACAGCAACAGCAGCAACACCAACACCACACCAACACCACCAACCAGCAGCAGCAGCAGCAGCAGCAGCAGCAGCACCACCACCACCACCAACAACAACAACAACAACAACAATAACCGCAACAGCAACAGCAACAGCAACAGCAACAACCACAGCAACAACAACAACAAAAGGAGCATCAGCAGCAACAACAACAACAACGACACCGACAACTACAGCAACATCAACAACAGCAACAACAGCAACATCAGCAACGGCACCAATACCAACAACAACAACATCAACAGCAGCAGCAACAACCACAACGACGAGGACGACGACTACTACTCCTACTACTCCTACTACTCCTGCTACTACTACTACTACTACTACTACTACTACTACTACTACTACCTCTTCTTCTTGCTGCTACTACTACTACTACTACTACTACTACCAGTACTACTACTACTACTACTGCTGCTACTACTACTAGTACTACTACTACTACTATTTCTACTAGTACTACTACTACTACTACTACTACTACTGCTGCTACTACTACTACTACTACTACTACCACTGCTGCTACTAC